CGGACTAGTTTCAAAATTCAATACAGATATTTTAAGGAAAGAACCAGATGAATGAATAATGAATCATTAAATGTCTGTCTTTTCAATTCCACTACTGTATTAAAAAAACCCTGAGAATCCAACAAAACCCTGAGGAAGTACTGAGTTGTACTGAGGCTACTACTGAGATTCTGAGGTAATCCTGAGAAGCATTGAGGTTTTTCCTGTGCATTCTGTTGTGCTACTGAGGAGCACTGAGGTTAGCACTGTTGCTTCTGTGTAAGTACTGAGGGGCACTGAGGTTTGTCTGAGGGAACTGAGCTGATACTGTGTGATACTGAGGTTTAAACTGAGGCTACTGTGGACATACTGAGAGGCATTGAGGTGTTCAAAACACAAAAATTTGACAATTTGACTTAATTTCCCATGAACTTTAGTCTTAATTTGTCAGCTAATGTAATTCTGTGTATTCTGTAAAGTAAAATTAAATTAAACTAACTGAAAATTTTAATATTCTACGTTCGGCAAAATTGTATTATAAAATTAAATAGAAATTGATATAGAGAAGTCTATTTTATCAAAATATAAATAAAAATCATCGCAAATTAATAAAGTAGGTTTCAATCATTACGATGACCCCGTAGTCACGGGCATCTATCCGCACGTGTCACAAGTGGTGACACATGTAACGAAGACACCTGCTACTGTGTTAGTGTATATTTTGTATATTCTATGTGATTTGGGTGGTTTTCAGTCCAGGGGTAACAATTGGCTGTGTTTAACTGTGTATACACACCACTGGCGTTACATCCTTTCAAAAAGATTTCTGGTCTTCATTAATAAAGGCTGATTAAAACATTTTATAAAATTAATCTAGACAAAAAATATTTATAAAATTATTAATATTCATTCAATGAGGGAATTTTTCTTTTCTATTTTCGGGTTATACTGATTTAACGGGAAATTTCTTAACCCTTAAAAATTAAAGCATTTTTATTTGAATCTAATAAAAATTATTTCTGGTTTTTTTTTTTTTTTTTTTTTTTTTTTTTTTTTTTTTGAATTATAACCTGAGGTTTTTTCACATTGTAATATCAGTCCTGGCGTATCTTAAATTTCCAATCATTGTTTTAATAATGTCTCGAGTACAAGAAGTACTGAATTCACTTTCTATGTTTGAGTTTTCCTCAACTAAAAAGATGATGATATTTTAACACGCAGTTATAATATTGATTAAGGAAATCTACGTTAATGTTTAAATTTAATTAGAATTTTACATCAAGTTTTCTACACATATTAACAAGAATGTCTTGGTGCACATAAATAACATGTTTTCCATCCACAAATTATACAACTTCCTATAACCCCCCCCCCCCCCCCCAGTAAATTCGATGTTACACATTTAAAATACAAAAAGAAAGCTATCAACAAATTACTTACCAATAAAACGTTTAATTGTTAAAGCGTACACTTTTGACCTCAGATTAATCAGGGTTCTCCATGAGCTGTTTTACTGTGTTGCTCCCGACACAGTAAAATTTTCTCCGACACAGTAACGATTCAAATTTAATGCTTGCGACACAGTAAAAAAGTTTGCCGACACAGTAAGATCTGTGAAAATTAGAAAATCTAAACATGAAATCTCTCTAACTTAGTGAGATTTTAATCAAACAATTCTACTTCTTTCAATTTTAAGCGGCGGAGCACTTAATTACTAGGGCTTCACCTTGCATAACCAATTATCTCCTAGACCCTCGCTGGACTTCACGCATGAAGGAACAAAGATAAATAATTTGTAAGGGTTGATTGGTAGTTGCATTAAAATAGATTGAATTATTTTTTTAAATATTTAAACGTGTCTTTTCTAAAGAGCCACGACTCTACAGTAAGATTATTTAAATACTGTACGTAAACCATAAAATCGTACCAAAGTCTCATGTGATTGATGTAAATAAATTGCTTAAAATTTTCAACATGTTCAAATAAGGAACTCGTAAAGTATTTTACTGTTCTGAAGTTTCTTTTTTGTGTAATTCGGTAACACGATCTTGAAAACTAACTAGTACTCACGACAAATTTACTCTAAATAAATGTAGAGTACTTCGACTGTATGGACCAGAATTTCCTCTGCTTATCAGAACATTTACGACCAAACCATTTGTGTTATGAATTACCGATTTTACAAAAAAGGGTGTGCACGTATTCTTTTGTTATTATAATGAATCAGTTTCAGTTGCGAATTTGATCGCAAAAATACCGCGAAATTTTAGTGCTTCGCGTAAACTCTGCAACACAGTAACATTTTAAATGATGGAGAACCCTGTTAATGGAAAATAAAACAAAAGGTGATCTCTATTTTCTTTACCTTCCTGGATTCCTGAAACTATTTTAAGAAAAGAAGTCTCGCAAGAACTTACGTTTTAACAACTTCAATGATGAATCTCTTAACCGAAAAATTTCTCTAGAAACAAGTTTTATTTTTTCGATTACATGCACAATCTGCATAAATGAAAGATACGAGAAATAGTTAAGTGCATGATGCAGTTTTAAAATGTCTTGGATGAAATATGCTCGGTTAAGTATTCCTTCACTGCTACTCTTTCAAACAGTCATGGCCCCGTGGGGATCCGGGTTAGAATAAATAAGTCCTCAGTACCCCTTTGCTTGTCGTAAAAGAGGCGACTAAATGGGGCGGTGCTTCGGATGAGACCGTATAAACCGAGGCCCCGTGTCACAGCAGGTGTGGCACAATAAAGATCCCTCCCTGCTCAAAGGCCGTAAGTGCCGAGCATAGGCCTAAATTTGCAGCCCTTCACCGGCAATGGTGACGTCTCCATATCAGTGAAATATTCTGGAGAGGGACGTTAAACAGTATACAATCAATCAATCAATCATACAATCATGCCTAGACTATTTTGTTCACTGTCAGCACTTTAATGCATTGTAACGACTCTCATCTTTTGTCCTGGTGTTGTCCTCATTTTAATGTTTATTTCTCTCAATATTATGAAAGACATACATTTTGATTTACATCTCAATATAGTGTTTACAAAACATTGAAGCATGTAAGATATATAATAAAACAATATATAACAATTTACTGTCAAGTAATTCCTTAAATCCCAATGTTGTTGGTAATAATTGCTTTTCTGCATGATCTGTGCTATTTTAAAGTGCAGCTATATATACGAGGGTCATTCAAAAAATACGTAGACAATGCTTCTCATCGTCATATGATTATTTCAAGATTATAGATCGATACATTTTCGTAAACATAAACATTTATTTTGTCGACGTGTGAAGTTTCATTCCATTTGATTAAATAGAACTCATGCTAGCTAACATTTAAAGCAGCATGTTTTGTTACCACGGAGCACGGTTAACCAATATTGTAACGTCAACAACAACACAGAGAGTTTGTCAAAAGTATACTTTTTTTTTTTTTTTAATTTCAAACACAGTGTTGAAGTGTCTTCTCCATTCAAAACACATATCCACAACACTTAACACCTAGTTTGCTAACAATTGTTCAAATATAGATTGAATAAGAATGTTGTTTTTTTTTCAAATTCTTTAAATCACTATTATGCAACTCTATTAATTCTGCAACATTGAAGCGCACATCACGCTCAGTGACGTTCTTACTCTTTTAACAATATTTTTAACTTTGACCTGTTTCTTAAAAGACAATCCATCGTCCGATTCAAACTCGCTTTCATTCATAAATTGTATTTTTAATTTAAAACAAATACACAGATTATTTTTCATATAGATCCTGGATTAAAAGGATTTTTTAAGCTTGTAGAAGAAGTTTCCTGAATGTAATGTCTAATTTTATTGCTACTTGCTGCTCCGTGACGTCCTCCAACGTCATGGTTTTTTGCCTTTATCAATCAAGTCCTTGTGTATTAAGAAACTGATATCTTTTAAATGGAGCGAGATATTACATAACATGATTTTATTTTGATTAATACAACAATACTTTATTCAAACATGTAAATTTTATTTCGTTTCAGTTCTATTTATTAGAGGAATAGCTGTAAATACTATAAAGTGAAAATTAGAAAAATACTCAATTTTGGTCGTGCTCCGTGACCCCATTTTTGATGTTCTAAATCCTTGGTAATTTTAATAAATATTAAGATACATTCCAATTTTTTTAATCAATTTAATTGAATCTGTTGTTAAAATATTTGTACCAAATTTGGATATAATATGACGTTAAATAAAAAAGTTAAGACAAAAGTCTACGAACTTTTTGAATGACCCTCGTATAAATTTAAAAAATGTTGTTGCTAGTATATGACCGTTTTAATCAGGTTACCTTGCTAAATTAAAATACACAGTTCTAAGTGACTCACAATACACTATATAGGTGATATAAATATAAACACCACCATGGCCGCTGTATCGATGATAGACTCGCCCTACAAAGTAGATCTGGGGTTTTTTTTGTTTGTTTTTTTTTTGGAATACAACTTGCTTTCATTTTTATACCAAACAATAATGTTGTAAATGAAATCGTTTGCAGTCAAAGTGTAAAAGATGATTCGAATATCCTACATGACTGTACAGTTTTGTACTTTATTTCTTTAGAAAAAAAGATGATATATTTTGAAAATTGCAATTGAATAGGTAACAAATTTGCCTCTTGACTACCACTCTTATTGTAAATTAAAATAATTATACTGAAGACAGAACTATGATAGAAAGAAATTAAATAAAGTACAACTGATTAGTGATATTGCCATTTATACCTGCAGCACATTTCAATTCTGTTGTAAATTTCATTCCTTTGATATGTTTAGCGAACAATGAGTTTTAGTAATGGAACCAGGGAATGCTATGCTTGCAAACCTATCTTTACTATTTAGTATCCATTTTCAATGAATGTTTCTTTTACAATGTACAAAAAATGTATCTTTCACATTGTTTATGATTTAATTTTTTTTTTAAAAGATTCGATCATATTCTCTCTGAAAACTACCAATAATAATCTTTTGTTATTTTAATTTTATCCATTTGCATTCTGTCATGTTTATTCCCTTTCAGCAATATAAAGTAGACTTCATGGAAATATTTTTGATATCATACGGTTATTTTATTAGTTTAAATTGTTTAAGATTTACGGCTTTACAATTAAAACACTGATTAATACAACTAAATATTATCAAGAATGGTTTTATGTTAAAATGAAGTACCAATGGAAGCTATTTTCTTAAGTTGGTTTAGTAAAACGACCAATGAACAACACACTTCCGGTTGAATCTTCTCTGATAAGGAATAGAAAGGGGTGGTCGGCTTTAAATATCACTGGCAGATCCGAGACGGAATCGCAGGACGTTGAAATCATATGAACCATAACTGCTGCTGCTTCCGTCCCTTCTTCGTTGACTTCAACGAATGCTTTGTGAATGACGTCAGATACTGAAGTGCCCTCTGGCGGATTATCCATCATGGCGCTAAAGTCTGCTTTATTAGTAAATATGTCGGCGATACCCATTTCTGTTAAAACTTTACTGAGCTCAAACGAACTCTCTAGTTTAAATTTTGGAATAGAGACAATGACACCTTTGTTATACATTGTTTGCGTGATTTCATAAAGAATTTCCGGAGAGAGATGTGATTCTACTTCAGACAACCCATCTATTTTATTTGGTAGGAATATAAGCATACTCAGTTCCCTTCCTTTGTAGGGAAGATTCAACACCTTGCAGTCGAGGGACTCAGAAACAGTTATTTGCCATTCATTCTCTTCCATATGCATCATATCAACCATATCTGTTTCGGTTTCAGAAATGTGAAAATTTTCACGTTCGGTTTTTGATGACTGAAATGACTTTATCCATTCGCCTTTAAAGTGAATAGCATTTGTCAGTACAGTCACGGTCAGATCATTAATCACACCTGGTGGAATCAGATCCTTGATTTTATTATTAGTCTGTTCTTCAACCCATGTGTTAATTCTAGATATTGAACCCTCCGGATTTCCAACAAAGTTTAACAGTTCCAACTCACTATTGTAAAACTCGATAGAGTTTTGTTTGTAGGCCTCTCTGATATCCAATCCGAGTTTGGAAAATATACGGTTCGCAATGGCCAGCTTAGATCCTTCTTTAGATTTTCCCGTCAGAGTGGAATGCAGTTCCTTGTACGCCTTGTGTGGATTGGAAATTCCGGAAAGACCCAAAACCTGTTTGATTTGAGCCTCAGATTCCCCTTTGGTGCCCAGCATGGTTAACATTATGGCGGCCGACACGCTGTCCGGAGAGAGAATCAAATTGTTATTCCCCTCCGACAAAACGTTGTACAGTCTTAATGAAAAGTTTGCAACGGCACCCTCCATTTTGAAAAAGATATCAAAGAGCCAATGTAAACAAGTTGTATACAAATTGCACACTATATGCACATATTCAGTATTCCAATGTCCTTTGTTTCGTATCTGGATGTGGATACCGATCGTGTTTCTTCTCTATCTACAACATACATTGAACAAATTCCCAGCTATAGTTTGACTAAGCGTAGTTTTCTTTTTATAATGTGGATTCCGCATGTGCACAGGTCCTACAAAAAATATTGTTTGAAACCTTTATAAACTATGTTGAAACGCTTACTATGACATCTGATATGGAGCTTACAAAAAATTATTTTTAAATCACTGCTGGCAGTACAGACGACATTTCACAATTTTAAAGTGTAACAAAAATCTGATTGAAATCAGATATTGTCATGTCGTTATTTTTTTTCAAATTTCAGCAGACAAGAGTTGCTAATAGAGATGTTTCTGAATATGAATCGAATCCGAATCTGAAAATGAATCTGAATCGGTGAGATCCCGATCCCGATTCGAAAACTAATAAAAACATTATAAAAAGAATATTTCTTAATTCTTCTTTTTAAAAATGCCCCTGTACTTGTACTAATAAGGAAAATATATAGTGGATGGTGTTTATATTTTTGTCACTGGATGTTTATTGCTATAAATTGGATAAGTCAAATTCTGTAGACTGAATAACAAAAAAAAGACTCCTTTCAATTTATGGGTAAACCTGTTCGAAAATAACCTTATTGTATTTTTCATTAGCTTACTTTATTTGTTCCTTGCAAGAATTGTGTTTTGAACCTTATATTGAGTAAATGCATCTTATATATTTAGACGTATTTTTTTCAACAACGTTATCTTGTGACCGTGCACTTTCTCGCAGCCCATTTTTTTTTTTTTCGAATGCAGATCAATTGATCATCGTCATGCATTCGAAAAATCTGACAGTTTTTCCTTATACAGTGTATTTACATGCTCTTGATTCTGTCAATCCACGAGCTACAAGCCCAGCTTCTTGTCTCTATTTGTCCCGCCCTGCACGTGAATTTCTCAACAGCACCTTTTGATGAACCAGTACATTTATGTAGAAAATAAAGTACATGAACTATTTGTAATTTCATCTCTGACCTGTTGCGTAGCATCGTTTTTGAAAGTGGGGGGGTAGGCAGAGAAAAAAAACTTACTTACCTGAAAGAGTTGACAAGCAAAAAAAAAAATGGGGAAAAGGGGCCCAAAGTCGAGAATCCTATTTCGTGGAAGGGGGGGGGGGGGGGGTAGTAAACTTTTTCTCTGTATCAACTACTTTTAGTACCAATTCTTATACTACATTTTCGGTACATTTCTAAAAATGGAGGGGGCAAACCAGGCTTTCAATTAACATTTCCTATAGCGTAAGTAAGGTTGGGAAAAAAGGGGGGGGGAGGTATGTCCAGTGCACGATGTTTTTTCGATATTGTCGACATCGCTGTAAAAATACCAGTCATCCTAATATCCTAATATACTTAACATGACAATTTAATTCCTTTGTTTATCTCTCTATATATTACATTGTTTAACAATATAACGTCAACATCTTGTTAACATTGCCTTCCCCCTTTTCTGTTGTTTACATCGTTCACATCGTCGACATCGCAATGTTGGTCGATGTCGAGTCGACATCGTGTCAATATTGCCCTTCTTATTTTTCTTGTTTACATCGTTTACATCGTCGACATCGCAATGTTGGTCGATATCGAGTCGACATTGTGTCACCATTGCCCCTCTAATTATTCTTGTTTACACCGTACACATCGTCGACATCGCAATGTTGGTCGATATCGAGTCGACATTGTGTCAACATTGCACTTCTTATTTTCTTGTTTACATCGTTCACATCGTCGACATCGCAATGTTGGTCGACATCCTGTCAACATTGCCCTTCTTATTTTTCTTGTTATATCTTTCACATCGTCGACATTGCAATGTTGGTCGATATCGAGTCGACATGGTATCAACATTGCACTTCTTATTTTCTTGTTTACATCGTTCACATCGTCGACATCGCAATGTTGACCGATATCGAGTCGACATCGTGTCAACATTGCACTTCTTATTTTCTTGTTTACATCGTTCACATCGTCGACATCGCTATGTTGGTCGATATCGAGTCGACATCGTGTCAACATTGCCCTTTTTCAAAATCTTGTTTACATTGTTCACAACGTCGACATCGCTGTGTTGTTCGGTAATTGAATTGATGTTGTGTAAACATTGCATTATTATTATTTTTTTGTTTATATACTTAGTATCCGTGTTTGCCTATATCGAGTCGTCATCATGTCATCATTAATTTTTTTTTGTCTTTTTATCTTTGTTAAATCGTTGACAACACATTTAACGCATAAAATCAAGTTCAGTTCATATTGATAAGGCAATACTAATATAATCTGTTTTCTTTTTACACAATGTCACCAGGGCAATCTTTGCCTCTTATGAGTCCACATCAGGTGTACATCAAGTATGAAGCATGTCTCTTACATTGAACTAAAAAAACCTGATTTCCAACCTTGAAAACAGTGTTTGTTCTCTGTACAGTAGATCTACATGCTAAATAGTTTAAACATTAATTACATCGCGTTGTCAATATACAATGTAGAAATAAAAGCATTTTGGACAATGTAAACGCGATATCGTATCAACATTGTTTACATTGCGATGTCGACGTCGACGATGTCGTCATGTAGAAAAAATAACAATGTAGACGATGTAAACGCGATATCGTATCGACATTGTTTACATTGCGATGTCGACGATGTCGTCATGTAGAAACAATGACAATGTAGACGATGTAAACACGATATTGTATCAACATTGTTAACATTGCGATGTCGACAATATCGAATTGATTAAGGGAACTGGACATGAATGGGGGGGGGGGTCAGCCACCCCCCCCCCCGGATACTACACCCCTGCTGACAAAGACATTGGAAATGCAAATATTGTGAAGTTTACAATGCGAAAATTGATAGAAAGGGTGGGTACTTCCCCACGTCTTCCCCAGGCCAGTTCTCATAGACATTGTATCATATAATTAATTTCGACGTCTTCAAATCAAGAGAGCAGAATTTCAAAGTACCCTCTCTCTTTGTTTATGTTGTTCATTAAATCGTATGCAATAAAGAAAAAAAAATAACCCTTCTCCCCTTCCTTGGGAATCACATACCCCTCGCTGGTTTGCTAGCGCGAACATGTCACCGCCCAAATAACAGAATATCTCGCGATACCCGAATTTGGTCGAAGAGAATTAAAACCCCTTAAACATGCCTATGGGAGTTTATTGATTTGCCACCCCCCTTTCGTCGCCTTCCTTAGCAAAATCCCTGATTTGCCGTTGAAATTTCAAATACACTCCTTATCCCACGAGAAAAAAATGAATCTAGCGAACATTATAAGACTTTTATTTTCAATTAATTTGTAATATCAATAGTTCTATTGCACACTAAAACGTCACGTCGTGTCAAAGGTCATAGGGGAAAAAAATTTACATCCGGGTTCTTATGCCTGTAAATATGATAATCATCGAACGAAGACAGTTTATTATACCCGTTCGTAACACATTAAGCACGGAAATTGAAAAAAAAATAGCAGTCAGATAAAATATGTTCTAAGGTTACTATCAACAGTTCAAGATTATAAAGCTTCATTCAATTTCTTAAATTTGAGCTTGTGAAATAGGTGAGTGGAACGTAACGAAATTGTCTGCTCTCTACTTTCACTTTGCTTTTTTCTCTCTCACACTTGTTATAAATTTGATAGCTACAGATCCTGTAATGCAAAAAATTATTTTTTGCGCATTATTTGGGAAAATTTCCAACCTTGGTAAATTTTATACACCTTTTAACCCTTAATAATCAAATTAAACATCTCTATGTACAAGTGATAAACTCGCTTGAATTGGAATTTTCAGTAATCTCTCACTTAGCACAGACATCTCAAATCAAGCCAGGTTATCGCTTGTAAAAGGCGAATATAAATGGTTAAGAGGTGGATAAAAATTAACAAGTTGGTTTAAGAATGTATCTGCAATTTGGGAGTGAAAGGTAAATGATGTACCATTAAAGATGAAAAGTGGAGAAATTCTCCCAAATACTGCGCAAAAAATCCTGCACTGTAAATAGCACATTTTTTGCATTACGTGATCAGTAGCGTGATGGTCAAAGACTAATATATAAAACCATAACACTACAGTTCTGCATCTAGGACTTTGATTTTTATGCCACAAGCATAATTCATTTACAAGTTTTTACATCACTACACTGCAAAATTCCATGCATTACTCCAGTAGGGATGATCAATTTTGTGTTGAACTGTTGCGGAGGTGAAGCTATAGCTGTAATAATGTAGTCCTCTTCGATTTTTTCAATCACTGCCCCCCCCCCCCCCCCCCCAAAGGGAGAGGGCTACATTATTGCAGCTTGTAGAGCTGTAGTGAAAAATGTATAGCAGCTATAGTGAAAATGTATAGCAATGAACTCTGGCTTCTTTGATTTGATAGAACCTCATGATAGTGTCATGGCTGACAAAGGGTTCAGTAATGTTATGGAAGAGCTAAATCTTTCTCATGCAGATTTGCTTGTTCCACCAGGAAGGCATGGTATTGCAAAGATGACTGCATATGATGTTCAGAAAACAGATAAAATAGCAAATGGAAGAATATATGTCGAACAATCCAAAAGACATATTAATTCTTTCGCTTATTGAAATATGAATTTCTTGTTACAATTTGTCAACATTTATGCGATACAGTGGAATATGCAATCTTTTATCCACCCCTTCCTAGGTATGATTAAAATGTTAAAAAAAATAAGCTATGAGGAATTTTTCTCTTCAGAAACATTTATATTTTAAAATTTTGCTATAACACACATGAAATCAGTATATGACATTGCTTTAATATATAAATTACACATTTGTCAAATGTCAATACATTGTTGACATTGTTAATGTCATTCTCAGAAAGTTCACATTTTATGGTACTTATGTCTAAAGGTAGTACACTAAATATGACAAATAATCTTTTTCCTCAAATTCAGTTTGAAATATCGCCTATCAGACCCATGTAAGAAGATTGTGAAATCAGACATTTGACCTGAGAATGTGTATTTTTTCTAAATTAACAGTCAATCTATTACAAACTTGTGTGATATTGTTTAAAAAGGCAACCCTTTGTTACTTAAATTCAGTAAAATACAG